AGGCCCAGCCGGGGTGGGAAGTCAGGTTGGGGTACGGGGCAGTGAGGTCCCTGTCTTGTTCTGGGATTAGAAGCACGCTGAGACCCAAATAGGAGTGGGGTGAGCACAACAAATAATAGCCTGATACTGTGTCAACTGGCTCTAGCTAAAGCTAAAGGCGAAAAATTTATCTCAACTACCAGGAGGGTGAGGCACTTAATACCAAGTGGCTGGGAGAGGCTCTAACTATGATTTGGCCTAGTAGGCAGGGGCCACTGAAAGATGTGGCGGGAACGTTGGCCTCTCAGTAACCTGGAGAGGTTGATGTGAGGTTAGCTATGCGTTGGGCCGAGGGGCGTATACCTACATATGCAGATGAAGATGGGTGTTGGCCTCACGGAATTGATAATGATGAGGCTAGTTACTGGCTTAGCTGAGAACCAGACAGCCAGTTGACATACCCGATCCGCGAATGGGACGGGTTATGGGTAGTAGTGAGGTGGGTAAATGTACCTTGCTTGAGGCAGAATGAGGTTTCCTTGCCAGAGGAATGAGATACTGGAGAACCTGAAGGGAAAATTATGGTTGGAGGCTGGTTGGAACTGGAATTGGGCTTGACTTACAATGAATGAAAATATGATTGTATCATGGGGGTGGTTGTTCTTGAGGCTGGGCTATGAGTAGGTAACCTGAGGACATAGTCATTAGAATCCTGACCCTACCATGGTGGGTACAAGATTCATAGGACATAAATAAAATATCACGATAAGTGAGTAGGGTCAGGATCCTAGGCCACTACCAGAGACCACGGGGGAGTGTTTAACCGATACTGCGACAATAATGGGGAATGACTCAGAGTCGTGAGTGACCGCTAATTGGTCCTGTGACTTCTGTAGCTAAAATACGTATAGGGTGATATGAAATACCAAGCTATGAGGGTAGTTTGAGCTATCCTGGTAGGACTTAGAATATTTAATTATATGGTCGTGACAGCATGGGAAGGGGGTGTATGTGTGGGGAATTAAGGATCCCCGGGCGTGGGCCTGTGTATGGCCTGGCGGAGGAATTCCGTGCCAACGTTGGCTGATGTAACATAGAACAGTTAGAGTGGAGTTGATATAGGTTTAGTGAAGCCATGCCTAAACAGCAAGGGTTGGTTAGTATGATGAATTTGATTGAGTAGAATATAGCAGCGATGAGAAAATAACCTTTAGTGCATAATACATTAATTATTTGACGGAGCGTCAAGGGGATCGTATGATGGTATGGTAAAGCCTGGTACACTAGGATTTGTACCAGGGAACATGACGATACATATACTGAACATAGGAGTGTGGTCTGTTATTAAAAAGGTTTTAGTGAATAGGTGGTTGTGCTCCAAATAAGTAAAATACCTATCATGGGAGCAAGTATACAGATTGGCCATAACACATGGTAACAAATGACTGCCTCAGAACAGTACCAAGCCCATAAGTGATAGAATAAGACATTGCAATATATGATGGAAATGCTATATATGTAGTAAACATTAAACACGTACCAGAGCTAAACTAGTAATGGGAAACTGACAATATATCCGTGCACAATCGAAAATAATAACAAGAAACATAGCAAACATAACCGAACTACAGGGGGCATGTATGGACAATTAGTAGCAGGCTATATACATTCAAAAAACCTGGAATTTACATGTATCAGGGAATAGTGTAAAACTAACGAATGGGTACTATGATTGTAGTGGCCTCTAGATGGCAGCACGTAACTGATATAGATTGGAGACTAGTTCGGTAAAAATTGGACGAAAGGAAACTAACAAAAAGGGAATGGAACAAAGAGCAGGCAGGAGTAGGCAAAGTCCTGAACAGGGTAAAAGTCCCAAATGGACGGTATGTAAGGACATAAACGTGCGAACAATAGTGTCTGTTCAT